TGAAACCTCCATCTTACGCAAAAAAAAAATATTCTTTGTGCAAAGTTACTTTCTGCCTCCTGGAAGAAACTCATGTCAGGATTGCACAGACTAGTGAAAAAGGAAATTGATAAAAATAGGTTCAGTACTAAGAAATGAAAATACATAAATGCAAAAAATTAATACAATAAATAAACTTTCTCAGTCCATAAATACATGATTACAAATGGATCGCAAATGAATTAATTCATAAAATGAAATAGAATAACATAAATAGAACATTTATATATTAAATTAAATCAAATACACAGTCTGTGTGCCAAAATAAACCATCTGTGTGCCAAAATATACAGTGATTCCACTATTTCATAGAAATAAAGTGCAGAACGTCTTCTTTAATCCTTTTTGAGTTAACAAAATTTAGCCACAAGTATCCACTGTGCCAACATTAAGCACTTCCCAGTCACCGGAACATGTAGCTGCATAAGTTTATAAGCATCAAAAGTGCTCTGTCTAGTCACCCAAACAGCGGCAGCTCTCTTATGGATGCAGTCCCTTTTAAATGAATCCACTGCCCAGGTCACCACAGCCCAAGTAAAACCGGTAAGCAGCATAGCTGTATGGGATAAGCATTCACCAGCCAGAGCCAAATATGACTTTCATGGTGTAATATTTGCTATAATATATCTCAATAATAGTGAATCTATTTATCTGTCTGCCATCTTACCAAAGTCCAGCAGCCATTTTCCTGTGGACATGTCTAGTGTGAATACACATGTTCAGTGTAATCAATAAGACTATGCATCACTGCCATTTTGCCATAGTTCAGCGGCCATTTTGTGATAGGCTGTAATGTCCTTCCAGCAGTAGGCCATTATAATATAGTACAAAACAAAAAAAGAAGCAGCCATGTTTCAGTAGTCTGACAAGGGAATAAGCAGTACATTAATAACAGAGGCAATACACAAAAAGGACATTCAAAAAGAAATGACCCACAACTAAAAAAATACTAATAACCAGGTCATAATTGTATATTTATTAGATGTCCCGACAAACCAGAAAATTATTTTTAATATACAAATGAAATTGTATATAGCCATAAGTCACCTCGTCATTGGCAAAGGTAGAGGCTATTCAGTAAGTATACGGACAGGGCGGACTGACCATTCCAGCACTTGGGAACTGCCCGGGGTCAGTAGGGGGCCCCATGAAATGCCCCGGTACCCTTCTTTTTTTTTTTTTTTTTTTTCTTTTCTTTTTTTTTTTTATATAGGCTTTTTTGAGTGTGGGCAAGGACACAGGCGCCCCATGATCCCATATTGCCCGGGGGCCCTATGAGTTGTCAGTCCGCCCCTTGTATACGGATATAAAATTCACAAATGTTAAAGATATATGCATACAGCTTGCAGCTTAAAAACAAAAACACAAATATAAAAGAATATGTAGCAACACAAAGAGCTGGAACGATAAAATAAACTAAAATAAACCTTAGTTGGATCAGAAGGAGACTAACTGGTTTCAATAAAGCAATTATCTAAATCCACATTTAGGCCCAAGGGTGCAGCGGTTTTCATTAAAGAAATTAATATTTGTATGGTGAATATTTTTAAATTTGTTTGTAAAAAAGGAAGCCACAGGTCTCTTTAGGGATTTATGGAAAGTATGAGTATGAAAAAAGGGATGGCCCATACATTTCAGTTATTCGGATCCCTCCTGCAAGAATTCTTTCGTCAGCCATCCCCACCCCCCCCCATCTAGTACTTTTTTAATTCAGGTTCGGTAGCAGCTGCTCAGGTGTCAGAGGTGGTCTCTGAGTAGCAGTGCACTGCAGAAGGATTGGAGGAATCTTCGAGTTCATCCTCAGAATCATCAGAAGAGGGGGAACTTGAGAGAAGTAGCAGAACACAGAAATTTATTTTCCCCACAGATTAGACTGAAGAATTGCTAAAGGCAATCCATGACACATTGTGATTTGAGGAAGAGGAGAAAATGATGTTGATTCATGATTAACTTTATGAAGGGCTATAGTCTAAGCAGGCTTGGACCTTCCAGATACAGTCCATCTTTAAAGAAGCCAGTCTCCAATATTGGAAAGAACTGGACAAGCAATTTATTCTTTTCTACTAACCTAAAAAGATGTATTTTCAAAGTGAAGAATGCAAACTTATGGGATAAATTCTAGATGCGTCAGTTTTCAAGGTATCCAAAAAGATGGATTTGTCTTTTATGGGTGCCCTAAAAGACCCTATGGATATAAAGGTGGAGGAGTACTTTGGGTGGCTTTGGAGGTGTCTGCAGTCAACTTCAAATCTGCTCTGATTGTGTTGTCCAGACCTTGAATCTATGGCTAAGACAGCCGCATTCACATTTGGAAGGGGGTATACTGGAGCAGATCCCCTATCAGTGTTAAATTAGGTTGTTGCCTGTGTAGCCGACACTTGCACTGAGTCAAGTTTACAGCCAGGTCTATGGCATTGATTAATTTGGCTAGACAAGTAATTTGGCTTAAAACATGACCTAGAGACCCAGCTTCAAAATGAAAACTCTGCGTGCTTCCATTTGCGGGAGAGCTTTTATTTGGATCATAACTAGAGTCCGTTGTTGAAAAGTTGGCCAACAGGATGAAGGGATTTCCGGCCCCCCAAAAGCAGCAACGAAGATTTTTTTGCAACACCTCTTCCAAGAGATCTAGCAGAAGCTGTAATTTCCATTTTACAAGGGTTGTTGCAACAAGGGGTGATCATTTTAATCCCATCAGAAGAAAGGCGTAAGGGTTTTTCATATCTTCCCAAGAAGAAAACTGTCAGGAAAATTCAGATTGATAGTGTTGCTTGAATTGTAGTGTTTTGACTTAGTTTTTCTGGTTTCGGCTATCTCTTCATCCGGCTTTTCTACCAAAGGTGGCATCGGACTTTCATAGTTCTTAAGAAGTCATAATTCCCTCCCTTCCCTACAAATTTGAAAGAATCAAATGGATTGTGTTCTTTTTATTAAACATTTGCATTTGGAAGGCTAATTTATTGGCCTGCGGTAATTGCCTACAGTTGAAGGGCTGGGGTGCAGACCAATGTTTTTAAATTAATGCGGTTCATGTGTTCGCCATTTAGGTGGGTGGAATGCTTCTCTCTCGTAATCTTTTCTGGAAGATTCTTAGAGTTAATGGGTGAATAATTTCGGCCTCTTTTTTTTTAGATGTGGGGGGGAGGGGGGTGTTAAAAATTGTGCAGTTGAGCCATGTGTTTTACACCCCATGTTAAGAAAAAAAAATGCAATTGGGCCATGTTTTTGCGCATCATATTGCCTCTGAAGCACAATCTGAACACAGATCATGCTTCAGAGGAGAGGTAGGTTTAGGCGCACATCTAAATCTACCCTTAAAGTGCTACTGTTTTAGTCCCAAACATAATAAATAAAACACATTTTTTTCATCACACATGACTGCAATGAAACCATAGAATACAGCACTGTGACTATATCAATTTTGCATGAGTGCAACATCTACTTTGATAAGTCAAAAAAAAAAATCTGAATTGAAAATGTTGGTCATCAGCAAAACTGTAATTTTCTTGGTGTTCTTTCCTATACATTTTCATGTATATGTACTGTAATACAGACACATTGTATGTAATCTGGTTACAGGTTTATCTTTAAACATGTAGATCAGTACTGGACCTAAAGATCCCTGCTGTAGGCTATTTTGATAAACAAACCTGTAAATCTTAACTTCCCCCTGGCCACAGCAGCATATTTCCAGGAGTGAAAGAGTTTACGGCTCCACAATTTATTGTCCTGCCAATGTCTTCAGTGTTAGCTGGGCATTAACATAGAAAAGTTATCGTTATCTGTGTAAGCAGATGGTTCCCCAGCAGCTCTGCAGCAATCATTCCCAGCTCACTGCTCTGACAATGTGACCAATGCAACCAGTTGTTTCTGCTAACATAGAACCATAAGTTTATTCCTGGAAGTTGCCTCTGGCGTAAGAGCCAGTTTACTGGGGCTTGTGGAAATGGTAAAATCATTATCACTGTATTTAAGGGCTTTTTCCTAATGTATTTTAATTTCTGTGGAACACACAGGAGTCAGTATATCGCACCCAAAAATGTCATGTAAAATGTTTATTCAATAGGTTTGAAAAGGCTCAGTACTGTTAGTGATGTAATATACTGTAAATATGAATATAATCTTTTTTTTATATATGCGGCGACTCTTTGTCTGCTTATAGCAACTATTCTCTAAATGTATAAATTTTTCATCACATACTCCGTTTGAATTGTTAAAGTATAGGCTACCTTCGGTAAAAACGTATATCAAAATGATCTGTACAGATATAAGCAACAGACGTTTTTCCTGCAAATCTTCTTTTTGTTTTTTTATTTATTACCATAGGAGCAGTAACACAGTTGTAGATATTTTTGTGTATTCATTTTCAGTATACCATCTCTTTAATAAATATATACAACTCCACAAGCTCCATCCATCTTGCAGCAGATAAGCAGAGTGAATCCTTCACTGACTGTGTACCTCTGGCCTGGTAAAGCAGCCCCCAGTCCATTTGCCTATGCCTATATTTCTAGAGCACCCTTGAATACAAAAAAACAGGGTGCTCTTGCCAGAGCTCACGTGGTTGCTCTCTGGCCGGGACCTTTTATATTGGCAGTAGGAATGGAGGCACTGCACAACCATATAAGCTGTAGTTGGAATTCGAATAATAGAACACCTAGGGGTATAGGATTTCCAGGAATCCTTGTTAAATAAATGACACTATGTGTATAGCAATAAGGGGGTATCTACTTTACATACATATGCTGTACCTGCTTTTCAGAGGTATCACGTGTTTCCATTAGGTAAAATTTAAAGTGAACTGGTTACTATGGGTCCTGTGCATTGGACCTCTTGTACTGTTTTATTACTTATTGCTGATATGAATTGCAACCCTTTTTGAAGTGTGCAGATTTTGGGCAGTATGATGGAAAGTCCCAGCAGAGGTTCACATAACTAATTTTGCTTCTCAATTTTTTTAGGCGACAGATACTTGGTTTGATTCACCAACTGCACAATGAACAATCTTCCTCTTCGACTGTACAAGTCACAGATGTGGATGGCGCTGTTATCAGCCCAGGAAGTGGAACCCATAACTACACCAATTTTCTGAGTTACACTATGGATATCGATGGAGCGTGCGACATAAACAAGCAGGGCTATACTCAAGAAACCAAACGGCTAAAGCGTACCCCTGTCCAGGACTCTCTTATATTTGAATCTGAGCTCAGGTTCATTAGCTGTGTCTTAACAGGCTGCAGAAATGCTGAGCAGTGCAGGTTTGCTGCTTCATACAGAAAATGGCTGCTGTCTATTCTAGGTCACTAACAAAACAAAATTTCTGTACAGATTACTTATGGTGCAATATTTTCTTTAGCAGTGATTTGCCATGGTTGTATTTGCAACCATGTGCTTCTCACTAATTAAGACTATCCAGGAATATTATTATTTTTAATTTATTTTTTGAATTATTACATCCCGCTGTGTTTTATTTTGTTCCATCTCTGTAACACAAGAAAAAGAAGAGCCTTTTTTATTGCTGCATCCGTTCTTGAACTTTGCATTATTTACTATCATTTCAGAACACTGTTACAAGTAAATATGTATTTAGTTGTTCAAAAATAAGCATGATTGGGATGGGAGGAATTAAAACAAGATGGTTACTTGAGAATTTTTAACTGGGATTTGCATTTTTTCCAGTCTTGGTTTACTAACATTCTAGACTTGCGTAAAACATTGTCCTATTTTACATTTCTGTGCCCAACCCTTTTATTTTAATGTAATAAAACAATACAAAAAGGAAAAAAAACTGATGCCGTGTGTATTTTGTGATTAAAGCTGATTAGGTAGCTTTGCATTACTTAAAGGAGCTTTACAGTTAAAATGAAAACATGTTTAGAATATTCTGATCCCTCAGCGTGGTAAGCGGAAGAGGCTGCTGCTTTGTGCAGTTCCATGTAAGCAAAGAACAGGGTGCTTGTTGCACTGTAGTTTACATTTCTTCAGGGCCACAAGTCTGAGTAGAGATAAGGGTGCGCCAATGAGCCTGCTTTATTTCAATGGACAACTTGCAGATTATTTCAGAAGACCATTTAAGAGAAACATGGCAGTGATACTTCTGCTATCCCTAAACATGGGAGCCCCAAGGTGTGGAGGTCACAGGGATCATGGCCTCTGTGACCCCCACACCACAAAGTTTTTTATTTTCGTTGCAAAATATACTATTTCTAAAAGTGCCGAGGTTACCATGTGTTAGGTTCCTGCAACACCTACCACGGTAGCTTTAAGCTAGCGATTTCTGCTAACCTTTGTAATACACTGTTTGCACACCACAAAATGGTTAAAGTGCCTGCCAAAAATTACATTTAGGACAGCAAGATCCCTCCATGTCTGATGCTCATCCAGGAGACGGACTACACATAACCGCCTGGAAAAGCATGGTGATGATCTGAAGGATGGGTGAGGGGCACTCAAAAGTGGCACATCTAAGAATGAGATCTGTAACCTATGTGCACCCAAATTTGTTTTGCAATACAAACTAAATACAATACTTCTTTATAACAGAATTTTTACACACACACACGTGTGTGTGTGTGTGTGTGTGTGTGTGTGTGTGTGTGTGTGTGTGTGTGTGTGTGTGTAAACTATAGATATATTGCTCCAAATGCGGACCAATGTAACTTTGCATATACCATACCTGTGGGATACCTCTGTATGCTGGAAATCACTATAGTATGCACTGCTGCTCCAGTGATCTCCACTAGCTTCCAGGTCCCATGCTGAGTGGCTGCACTTCTGTATTCTGAGCACAGGAGAGGTCAGCTGCTCAGCACAGACATTCAGAAATTTACTTTTTATTTTTTCAATGATTGTAAAGATATCTCTGATTCAGCGAGGAGGGCTCTCCACCTTGTCCAATCAGATAATGCTTTTTGCATCCATTGAGAAATGCAAAGCGTTTTATTAGATGACAATACTAAAAACACAGATGTAAATAAAAACAATCTGCTGATAAATCACCAAATATGAATACTCAATTATTGCTCTACAAACCATAGGGTTCAGCACAATTATAGAGATTAAACTCCAACACGTTTCAATTTTAAATAAATCTTCATCAGGGGAATCATTGGTCAATCTAAAATATAAATATACACTAGCGTGAAACATTGTGCAGTTGTCTGCCAGTACCTCCAATACAGGTAAGCAGTTACTTCAGTCCAGTAAGCTCAATAGACTACAAAAGCACTCACCAGCATTCTTGTAGTTTGTTGGGAACTGTGAGGGCAAAGGTTGACTATACTTGTAGGCCTTCATTCACAGAACTCTGTAAACGGAACCCCACATAGCTGTACTCTTTTAAAATTGTGACAGTGGGTGCAGGGAGAAGATCCCCGACCTGTTGTCCAAGTGAGGTGGGAGAGTTGCAGGAGTGGGCACATGTTACATGTTCGACCCTAAAAACGGGTGTAACATGTAAAATATTCCCAAAAGTGAACTTATCCTATTAACTTTACAAACGGTATTTTGGAAGTTAGCTTATTCAATCTGCCTACCCCTTTTTTTTTTTTTTTTTCTTCTATCTTTTAGAATGGGTAAGGCAGAGTCCAGTATCCAGTTAGGTCCTTATATATTTGGACACTGGCACAATTTTTATACTTTTGGCTCTGTATGCCACCAGAATAAATTAAAATGAAACAATACAAATTAATTTGAAGTGCAGACTTTCAGCTTTAATTCAAGGTTTTGAATATGAATATCAAATACAAATTTTAGGAACTGCAACCATTTTTATACACAGTCCCCTCCATTTTCAGGGGCTCAACTGTAATTGGACAAATGAATATAATCACAAATAAAATATTCATTTTTAAAATTTTGTTGAGAATCCTTTACTGGCAATGACTGCCTGAAGTCTAGAACCCATGGACATTACCAAAGACTTGGTTTCCTCCTTTCTGATGTTTTTGCTAGGCTCTAACTGCAGTGGTCTTCAGTTGTTCTTTCTTTTGTGGGTCTTTCTGCCTTTAGTTCTGCCTTCAGCAACTGAAATGCTTGCTCATTTGGATTGAGATCAGGTGATTGACTCAGCCATTGCAAAATATTCCACTTCTTTTCCTTCAAAAGCTCCTGGGTTTCTTTTGCAGTGTGTTTTGGATCATTGTCCATCTGTACTGTGAAGCGCCGTCCAATCAACTTTGCTGCATTTGGCTGAATCTGGGCTGGCAGTATATCTCTAAACACTGCAGAATTCATCCGGCTGCTTCTGTCACATCAATAAACACCAATGGCCCAGTGCCACTGGAAGCCATGCATGTCCGTGCCATCACACTGCCTCCACCATGTTTTACAGATGATGTGCGCTTTGGATCATGAGCTGTTCCAAGCCTTCTCCACACTTTTTTCTTCCCGTCATTCTGGTACAGATTAATCTTAGTTTCATCCATGCAAAGAATGCTTTTCCAGAACTGGTCTGGCTTTTTTAGATGTTTTTTTTTTTGGAAAAGTCTAATCTGGCTTTTCTATTCTTCAGGCTTATGAATGGTTTGCGCCTTGTGGTGATCCCTCTGTATCAAGTCTTCTCTTGATTGTAGACTTTGACAATGATACGCCCACCTTCTGGAGAGTGTCCTTCACTTGTCTGGATGTTGTGAATGGGTTTTTCTATACCATAGAGAAGATCCTTTTATTATCCACCACTGTGGACATCCATTTTTTTTTATGTTGCTGAGCTCACCAGTGCGTTGTTCTTTCCTCAGAATGTACCAAAACTGTTTATTTGGCCACTCCTAATGTTGCTGCTATCTCTCTGATGGATTTGTTTCATTTTTGAAGCCTTGCAATGGCCTGTTTCACTTGCATGGACAACTCCTTTGAATGCATGATGTAGGTTCACAACTATAGATTCCAAATGCAAATACCACACTTGGAATCAACTCCAGACCTTTTACCTGCTTAATTGATGAAGAAATAACAAAGGTGTAGCCCACGCCTGGCCATGAAACAGCTTCTGATTCAATTGTCCAATTACTTTTGGTGCCTTGAAAAGGGGGGTGACTATACTTTAATCACTTCCAGACCGGACACTTTTACCCCCTTCCTGACCAGGGCAATTTTCAGCTTTCAGCGCTATCACAGTTTGAATGACAATTGCGCGGTCATGCAACACTGTACCCAAATGACTTTTTTTAACATTTTTTTGAGACAGATCTAGCTTTATTTTGCTGGTATTTATTCACCACTGGGATTTTTGTTTTTTTTTGCTATGTAAATAAAAGTCCAAAAATTTTGAATTTCTTTTTTTTTTATATAAAATTTTGCAAATAATATTTCATCATAAATCTTGGCCAAAATTTATTCCGTTATCTTTTTAGTAAAAAAAAAAAATCCAAATTAGTTTATAACCAAAAATTATGATTTTTAAACTTTTTTTTTTTTTTTTTTACATTTTTATTTTATTTTTATATATTTTATTTTACATACTGTCGCCCTAGCAGTACAGTGTCACCATGGTGACCCTGTACTACTTGTGGGGGTAATGATTTTTTTTTTTTTACACTGATATATAGGATGTAAAAACAATCATTTCTCTTTCTCTCTGTCTGCATTCTTGCAGTCATTGAGAAGTACTGAGTGAGCTGTGATTGGTCACAGCTTGTCACATGGTACAAGGCTGTTGTGCATAGCCTTGTACCATGTGACCTCTGTGATCATTCACAGATTTCACACGTAGGAAGCAATGATGTCACAAGTGACATCTTGCTTACTACTTTGCATGTGATCACTGATTGGTCAATCAGTGATCACATGATCGGGACCTCGTCTGACGATCAGTGTTTCACTGTGTCCGGGCACCGGATCACAGTGCTTAGCACTCCCAGGGAGCGCACACAAGCAGGGTGCGGAGAGGCCGTTTATAAACGGCCACCCAACCCTCCACTGCCACTGTCCGGCCGTTTTATATAGAACAGCCGGTCGGGAAGTGGTTAAGAGCTGTAATTCCTAAACCCTTCCTCCAATTTGGATGTACATACCCTCAAATTAAACCTGAGCGTGTGCACTTTCAGCCCATATCGGTTATATAACTATAGCTTGAATATGTTTTGGTATATACCTGAAAAAAACTAAAATTGTGCCTGTCCAAATATATACAGTATATACTTAACTGTACCTTTATTTTTGCATTCAATGTTTTCTGCCGTGTAACATATGATCTCTATCATACTTTTTATGTAGATCCTTGTGTTATTTATCGCGCTTTGTGCTCCTTTATCTTTGCACCGTGGGGACTAGTGAAGACAAATGGATGCGCACAAATTTTTGGCTGA